TTGTGTTCTGTCAGCAGTTGTTGAGATGATGTGAATCTGAATGATGATAAGTGTTCCTGTCACACATCATTATCTGCTTCCTACTCGCTTTTCAGCTCTATTGGACTCTAATCAGCTGCTAACTGAAACTAACCGTGATCAATAACGACTCTGATTAGAAGTGATCAGATCGGACTTCTCTTATCTAATGACTGTAAATGACGAAATGACAGTCAGTGCTACTGGAAAAGTGAAGAGCTGGGCTCGAATGAAGCTGTTTCAACTGCTGTAAGCCGACAATAACGAGGAAAAGAGGGAAGTTCGTCATTATTGATGCGTTTAATCAAGCATTCCGTGTCAGGAACGCTTCTCAAGGCCATTATTGTCTCTTTGCGGTGTGAGTGTGATGGAGTTTGTCCAGAATGATCTCGACACGAGGCGCCACGACTGACAGCAGATCAATTAACTGCAATGATTGGCAAAGCGCAAATATTAGCTGTTCCCAGATCAGCCTTTCATGTATGACAGGGCTTCATCTGCTGATAAACGCGCGGGTGATGTTAGTCGGGTTTCTGCACAGAGCTTCAGTGACTGCGAGCAGATCAATGCGCTCCTGTGATGAGTGTCTCGTTCATTACAATCCACTTCATTGTATTACAGCATAAAAAATAAAATCACAAAATCTTTACTACAAATCATTTCTAACACAGACGAATAACCGGAATACAATCAGAATAAAGTCATAACATTCATTTCTAATTATTCGAATTATTATTAATTTCTATAATTAATTCTATTAATTTCTATAATTTCAACTCGATTTTTCATCAGTAGTAATTAAATACAGTTTACTTAATTTCATTTTTATTAAACATTCAAGCAATTAAACTTAATGTTTTTATTTTAACAGGTTTATAATTAGGCCTATTTTTTTTTTTTTTTATTAATCCATTGCACAAAACAGCATAAAAAATAAAATCGCAAAATCTTTACTACAAATAATTTCTAACATAGACGAATAACCGGAATACAATCAGAATAAAGTCATAACATCTTTGTTGTTATCCGTTTAATTTCTAATGATTTGAATTATTATTCATTTCTATAATTAATTCTATAATTTCAACTCGATTTTTCATCAGTAGTAATTAAATACAGTTTACTGAATTTCATTTTTATTAAACATTCAAGCAATTAAACTTAATGTTTTTATTTTAACAGGTTTATAATTAGGCCTATTTTTTTATTATTAATCCACTGCACAAAACAGCATAAAAATAAAATCACAAAATATTTACTACAAATAATTTCTAACCGCAATACAATCAGAATAAGGTCATAACATCCTTGTTTTTATCCATTTGATTTCTATTGATTTTATTAATTATTCATTTCTATAATTAATTCTATTCATTTCTATAATTTCAACTTTCATCAGTAGTAATTAAATACAGTTGACTGCATTTCATTTTAATTCAACATTTTAGCAATTTAATTTAATATTTTAATTTTAATGGGTTTATAATTATGACTTTTTTTATTAACAATGTCATGAAAGGCCATTAAATTGGGCTTTTGGTTTAGTAATGTGGCTTAAATGAAAGTGAGACTGAATCATGCAGCTTCACGAGTGTGTGTGTAATCCAGGTGCATCCTGACTTTCCTCCTCCTCAGGTTTCTTCTGTCTTCTCCTTCATCTCATTCTTCTCGGAGAGCCAATCAGAGCTCGCGTACCTGCAGGAAGTTTGACCGGTTATTCTCCTCCCTCAGAAAACATCATCCCTCCCTCACTAGTGACCTCCCGCTTTCGCTCATCTCAACCTGATGAGCTGCATGGAAGCAGAAGTCACAGGATTGTTCTCCAGCCATGCAGTTCCAGCCCTCGCACGCTCCTCTTTACGCGCCGACGCCCGCGCCGCCCGCTCACCCGACGCCCTTCTACATCGAGGACATTCTGGGCAGAAACGCGTCCGCGCCTGGCCCGGTGGCGCCCACGCCGACCCTGCCGTCTCCAAACTCGTCGTTCACCAGCCTGATCCCATCTTACCGGACCCCGATCTACGAGCCCACGCCGATCCACCCGGTTCTGACCCAGCAGGCGCTCGCTTACGCGTCCATCTACCCGTTCCAGCGAGACTTTACGCACGCGCTGATCCGCCACGACCCGCTGGGTGAGAGCCAGACTCATTTCTGTCCTGTTTCGATCTAAACCAGAACTGGTGAAGAGCCCGGTCTCATGAAAATGCGTATCAATAGGACAATTTTCAGTGTATATTTGGCGTCCTATTTTATACGCATGTGTGCATATGATACGCACCTACCCCACACCCCTAATCCTAAACACCGCGTTTCATATGCACGCCAAAGTCAATTTCTGCGTATAAATAGCACGCCAAATAGTAACAGAAACTCGTGCTACTGACACGCACTTTACCCTAGCAAGCTCTGTCGCTGCATGCGGCGCTACTTTTACAAAAGTTACACTTTTGTACCTTTTTACCACTACACTCTTAAAAATAAAGGTTCTTTATTGGCATCAATGGCTTTGAAAAAATTCAAACGTATAAAAAAGTTTATAGGTTCTTTACATTTTTTAAATGTTCTTCAAAACGGTTCTTTTAGGAACTGTTCACTGAAAGGTTCTTTTGCGAACCAAAAATGGTTCTTCTCTGGCATCACTGAAAAAAAACACCCTTTTGTAACCTTTATTTTTAAGAGTGTAAAGGGTACATATTAGTGTCTAAAATGCTAAATTAGTAGCTTTTAAGATTACTGCCTTGCATGGTGATAGATTTTGTACCTTTTTTCTGAGAGTGTCTGAGAGTGGTTGACGCTTTCTTTCAGTAGCCTATTAAAAATCTGACTCCACATTAACTGAATCTGGTCAAAATGATGTAACATTACTGAATCAACCTAAATGCGTTCATTTGTACCCACAAAACTCGTTTTTATGGGTTAAGTCGGATTGAAATATGTGTGCGTAAAAGTGAAAGCCGACGTGCATTTAAATTGTGAAATTGTGCCTAAAAGTTGATGTGCTTTGGAGATAGAAAGCTGGGCTTCATGTAGTGTGTTTACCAACAGCTCGTGTGGTTAATAATATCAACCAGACTGACCCGAAGAGGAAGCTCTTCTTGATTTCGAAACTGCAGTTCAAAGCGCATTTCTGTGACCCTGCTGCTGGAAACGAGCGTGACTTCGGATCGTGTTCCAGATGTTGCATGGGCTCTCAGGAAGCGTGTTTGGGTGAGGAAGACTCCGCTGGTCTTCCTCACGTGTTGTCGGTCTGAGGTTCAAACTGCCTGAGCTCAGCGAGCCCTGAGCCTTTCCGTTCACTCCGGAAATCTTGAGCTCTCGATAGGAGTAAGTGTGCTTTCAGAAGCTGTGAGATGTTTTCCTGGAGCAGGACTCGTGCGCGCTGCTGATTATTTTATCCACATCCTCAATACACACATATTCAGGAAACACTCGGCTTCTGATAGCCGGGATCCGTTTTTTACGGATTGTTCGTTTCCTTTCATTGGGCTGAACCTTCATAACTGCTAAAACAACTCAAACACACCTCACGGAACTTAGTAGTGACTCTATACGCACGCTTGCTTTTTAAAACAAAACAAATGCCTATCAAATTTGAGATCAGATATGATTTGTATTAATATGGCCTATACTAAACAGATGATAGCCTATCTAAATAAATACATTTGTATTTAATATATACTCATATCTTTATTAATGCCTTAAAAAGTCAAAATGAGATAACACAATGCTGCCAAGTTTATTACACCATTTGAATTTCATTACTCTTAAATAAAATAGTTTTATGAATTGCAAGGCTAACTGAGAATATGTTATAGGTGTTGTACACAAAATATAAATTTTTTTCTTTAAATGTGACACATGTGAATGTATTTTCTTGAACTGAAATATATGGAGGACAAAATATATTCCCAAATGCTTTTTAAAAATAGAATTATATTTTTAAAATATATTTTCAGAAAATGGCCAAAAATAAATGGGTAGAAAATAAATTATTCGTTATGCGTAATACATAAACATATATGTTTTTGGCCATATATATATATTTTTTATTTTATTTCGTTTTTGCGCTGATATATATATATATATATATACACACACACACACATTTCTGTTATTCTTAAAATAATATTTATTAAATTATTATTTTTATGCTCTAAAATACTTCTACGACATAGGATTGTATATTTAAATATTTTAATAAGTATCTCATTCCCTGAATACATATATTTTTTTAATAGATAGAAAAAAAGATTTACATTTTAAAAACATTTCAAAACGGATCATTTCCTACAGGTCTCAGCACGTGATTAATCGGGTTTTTACAGGCGGGATGAATCAAGTTTCCTCTGTGTTTGTGAGGACTGGACGGATGTTCACCCCATTCACCAGATTAACCAACAGGAAACACATTGACGGAAATTTTGAGTCCTTCTGCTCATAAACTCCAGCTTTCAGCGGATGCTCGAGCTGACAGACAGACAAACCAAACACGTTATTCACCTTCAGTCTGAAGACCTCGCTCTTTATATGCGCGTTTATTCTTGATGTGATCATCACGTGTGTGCACTATGCAGAAATTGGCGTGCATATGATACGCACGTGTTTGACGTGCATATGATACGCATCTACCCCACAACCCTACCCATTGCGTATCATATGCACGCGAAAGTTCACTTCTGCGTATAAATAGTACGCCAAATCAAAACATAAATTCGTGCAACTGACGTGTTTTACAGGTAAACCTCTGCTGTGGACGCCGTTCATCCAGCGTCCTATGCACAAGAGGAAAGGCGGACAGGTTCGCTTCTCCAACGACCAGACCATCGAGCTGGAGAAGAAGTTCGAGACCCAGAAGTATCTGTCTCCTCCCGAGAGAAAGAGACTCGCCAAGATGCTGCAGCTCAGCGAGAGACAGGCGAGTCAACAAGACAACACGAGCTGCACTTTCACTCATCTATTCCACAGCCAAACATGCTTTAGTCTGTGTGTCTTCTGCAGGTGAAAACCTGGTTCCAGAACCGTCGGGCGAAATGGAGGCGATTGAAACAGGTGAGAATCTGCTCTTAATGCACACACAAAGAGTTTATTTTATTATTGTACGCTCTAAAAAATGCTGGGTTAAATACAACCCAGCGCTGGGTAAAATATGGACAAACCCAGCGATTGGGTTAATGCCTAGAAGGTTGGGTTAAACATTTAACCCAATTGCCCAATTGTTGGTTGAAAGCAACCCAATCGCTGGGTTTGTCCATATTTTCCCCAGCGCTGGGTTGTATTTAACCCAGCATTTCTTAGAGTGTAATAATTATACGGAATCCTAGGCTATGATAACTATCCTAAATAATAATCAGAATTGCTGACGTTTCGTTTTAACATTTACAGCAAACACAAACACAACTAACAACCAAAACACGGATCATGAACCAAAAGAAAAATGCACGGTACAAATAAATATATTTTATATATGAAGGTTTTCCACTTTTAAAGTGACTTTAATCTTAAGAAAAGCAGGTTTTTATTGTTGTACTATTTTATTATGTTATTTTTATTACACTATAAATGATTTTTCGAAGTTAAATTGAGATTAGGTTATTGGAGCGCGTTTTACAAGAAAATACTATTTCGGTCTTTAACAAAATCTCACGTTTAATGCGTTACTTGCGATTTCTGGGTGAAAATACTAGGTGTTTCTACACCTAGCCTATTTATTTATTGTTATTTTATTACCCTGTTCGTTCGTTTCGATCGCTGCTTTATAACAGCGCAATAAATAAATAAATAAATAATTCGTTAAAAAAATAAAACGGAATAAAATGTATACAAAATATAAATACGAAATAATAATTTTTATTTTAATGCAGTGAAATAATTGTACTGTATCATGCTTTCTACTAGGCTATCTTTAAAGAAACATGTATTTAAATAGGCCTATTTTAATTATCATCTAATTTCCTGAATATTAAATTCTAAATCTGAACAACAGGCCTATTTTAGAATAGGCTATAATATTAATATAGCCTAAAGTTTATAATTCCTAGAAAATCTCTATAATATTTATCATCTTTTTTTTTTCAAAGACGGCAAATGGATAAATAAATAAATGCCGCTAAATGAAAAGCTCCAAACAACATTTGATATCGACATGCTTGTGTGATGTTGGTGAAACAGGAGAATCCTCCGAGCGGTAAGAGAGATGTGGAGGACTCGGGCGAGCAGAGAAACTCGGACAGATCGAGTCCAGGCGAGTCTGAGGATTCAGATCAAGAGCTGGACATCGAGGAGGACCCACACTTCTCCATCAGCCCTCAGCTATGAGTCCATCTCAGCACTGTACATACTGTATCATACTGTACATTTAGTAGCACAATTAACTTAATGGATGTGTAGATTTCGATCCAAACCTGTATCTGGTGTCTGGTGGAAAATATTTTGTGTTAGTCAATAAATATTTTGGGGATAAGGTATCTGTTTAATTTGCCTTTTTAATGCATAATTATGCAAAATTCATATTTCTAAAAGATGAAGGTTACATGAGAACCTTAAATGGTTTCAAAGTGCATGATTTGAGCTGTTAGCTGCTTACACATATTTTCAAAACTTCACACACAAATCCAAGAATTGCACACAAAATGCAAAAAGCCTCACATCTCTTGCAAAACGAAGCACTGCGTTCAAAATATCTCAAATCTCAAAAGCAAGCATTTGCAAACAGCTTTGCCATAATATTAATTCCTGTTAGATTTGTGTGTGTTACATAGAGAACTGTGTGTTGTGTTTTGCTGAGAATTAGTGTCTGGTTTTGTAGATTTGGTGTGTGCTTCTGCTGTTTGAGTGTCAGCTTTCAGAAACTGTGTGACACGTGAAGATGCAGTGTGTAAGCAGATGAAAACAGCTGTAATATGGCAGATGTTGTTTCCTTTAATCTGATGTAATGACGAATGAGCATTTAGAGCATTTAGATTAGATTTATCAGTGTTATTAGTCCTTTATCTGTTGATTCACAATCCTCTCATCATAGCAGATGATCTGTTAGTCATTAAAATCAATCATCACCTCCTGAATGAAACAACAGCACAGTTTGAGATCTGGAGCTCGGCGATCTGCTTTTTCGGTTTCTGCTTCAGCTTATCGCTTCCAACAAGACAAACATGCAGGCCTGAGTTTGTGCTAATGCTGTAGTTAATGATTGGACAGTGAGAGGATCCTGGGTGATGAATCACAGCGTTCTGTGCATCTGAGAGAGTTCAACAGCCCTGCAGCGGTGAGAGTTTGCTCCAAAACCAACACCATGAGCATCGATTCAGCCTGAATTGAGAAATGCTTCACAAATCGTGATCCTGAACAAAACAGCATGTGAACTGCACTTCTGACCGCAGGCCCAAACACATCAGAAACCTGTCCTGAGCATGTCTTTACCTCTGAAGAATGAAGAACCTTTGAAGCTTTTGAATGCACAAAAGGTTCTTTAGAGTTTTGAAATGTTCTGCACACTAATGGTTCTTTTAAGAATTGAGGTTCTTTGAGGAAACAGAAACACTTCTTCTATGGCTTTGCTGCAAAACATGCTTTTGCAATCTTTATTTTTAAGAGTGCATGCAAAAACCCTCTTAAAATGTCTCAGTTTTTTTGCCACCAAAACTTTAGATTCATTCATTTGTATTTGTTATATTTTCTTTATACCCTCATGTTGTGTTCTAATCATTTTGATGATGAAAATGCTAAAAATGTTATCACATTGAACTTAAACCTGAAAATAAAAGATAATTTATGCACGTTTTTGTTATTGTTTATTGAAAAGCAAACAGCACTTGACTTGAGTGAACAATGAGGCCTGAGTGATATTTTCCTGGTTACACTTGTGGTGTTTCTGGTCAAAAATGATCCTGCAAAATTGCTTGTAAATCTCTCATTGTGCTATCAGCAAATCTCAGATTCAAGCTTATCTCTTTATCACCTTTTTTCATTTTAAATTAGCACAGGTTTTGTGTTCCGATATGGAACTGATTGATTGTAGACCTCATTGAGCTCATGCACTGAGTGAAAAAGTATTATTTGTGGATGATTTTCAGTCAAAAACTGGTCAATAAGCTCAGATCAAAGAGGCCTATGACCAATCGGTTCCATTTGTGATAATATAGCATAAGGAGAGATTTACAAGCAATTTTAAAAGAGGACTGTCATTTTAAATAAAGTGAAAAAAATAACTATTTGTAAATAATTTTGGCGATATTCACCCAATAATCTGCATAGTGCATGAGCTCAGATCAATGAGGCAAGCAAGCAGCTCCATAAACAAACAAAAAAAAACCTGTGCTAATTGAAAGAAAACTTTAGAAAAACATTGAATCCAAGATTTGGTGATAATAGAGCATGACAAGAAATGTAGTTTGTTGTAGGTCGGTCATTTTTGACCAGGACAAGGATTTTCAGAACAGCTCAAAAGCTTTTCTGACTAATAAAGAACATATTGAGGCTTTTCTTGTAGTTTTTGAAGAAACTCTAAATCTGAGACAAAAGTTACAGTTCAATAAAACAAAACTGATATATCTATTAAGTCTCTTGAGCTAGAACACAGAAAATATTCAAATGTGCTCTAAGAATGTTTTGCTAACATTCTCATTCAATTATGAAAATGTTATTTCTCTATTTGTTCTCTGAAACATGTTTTTTCTTTAAATGTTTTTTTCTTGATTTTGCGAATGTTAAAGAAACATTCAATTTTGCAGACATTAGAGGAACGTTACATTTGAATGCTGTCTGATGTTAAATAGTAACATTTAAAATTGTTACATTAGACAAAAGTCTAACTGTTTCGGAAAAATGTAACATTCTGAGAACATCATCACAGACCACATCACTCTGACGGAATGTTCCATTAACACTTCTGTTTATAACTGACAACGTTACATGGGTTAATGCTAATATATGTGAGCCTGCAGCACAAAAGCAGTGTTAAGTCGCTGGGGTATATTTGTAGCAATAGCCAACAATACATTGTATGGGTCAAAATTATAGATTTTTCTTTTATGCCAAAAATCATTAGGATATTAAGTAAAGATCATGTTCCATGAAGATATTTTGTAAATCTCCTACTGTAAATATATCAAAACGTAATGTTTGATTAGTAATATGCATTGCTAAGAACTTCATTTGGACAACTTTAAAGATGATTTTCTCAATATTTAGATTTTTTTGCACCCTCAGATTCCAGATTTTCAAATAGTTGTAGCTCAGCCAAATATTGTCCTATCCTAACAAACCATACACCAATGGAAATATTATTTATTCAGCTTTCAGATGATGCATAAATCTCAATTTCCAAAAATTGACCCTAATGACTGGTTTTGTGCTCCAGGGTCACATATCACTCACTTCCAAACTCGTTCTGTTGGGCAAAAAGCGGCCTATCCTCACGAAACCCCCCCGACTGAGTATTTATGATCTGGTGCTGTGCTCACGTTTACAGAAGTCATTATTTTACAGCTCAGACAGTGAAGCAGAAAGTCTGACGGCGATATAAAAGCTCCATCTCCAGCTGAATTAGGCCTAATTGAAGAGCAAACAGCACACTTGAGTGAACAATGAGGCCTGAGTGATATTTTCCTGGGCTGCCGGAGGAATCTTGTCCTCACCTGAAGGCCGCGAGCACTGCTTGTTATGAACAGAGAGGGTCTCTTTGACGACAAATGCTCAAATATTGACCCATCAGCCTGAGATACGTCCAGTGGCTCTGATAGTTTAATTGACAACAACTCTTGCTTCATCAGATCAATTAGCGTGGCTCTTTCAGGCCTGTTAGCTCTCGTTACAGCACTGCCGTGTGTGTGTTTAAAACTCCAATCAGTCTTTTCCATGATGGCAGAGATTCTGGCCTCTTAATGGCTTGTTTGTTCCTCTTTGCTCGGGCAAACCTGCAGATTGCTTTTATGTGCGGCCGTGAACGAGCTTGTGAGACACGGCCTGATTTATTCATCCTGTGACTTAATGATACGTGATAACAAGGCTTCCATTAAAGATTCTGGATGCAGTGATTAGGCCTTTCCAAAGCAATTAGACTCTTCCTCTCAGCGTTTACAGACACAACAGTGAGTGAGCGTTTACTAAGGAAACATTCAGCTGTTCTGCCTTTGATCAACTCTAATATCAACTCTAATGAAGATCATCTCACTGCAGGACTGGACAATGAAATTAGTCTGTAAACACAAGCATAATCATTGCAAGGTAGATAAGTCAGCCAGAACATGCGTTTTCACTGAGCAGACACTTACTATCAATCCAACTAACATTGTGGCAAGGTTTCAAACATACATTCTTCCAGTAACTTTTTATAGAACATTGGTTCAAAGTTATCTGGTCTTTAATAATATTGACAAAACACACACACACATAAACAAACTAAACAAATATATATTTGTATACATCATTAATGGAACTTTTTTTCTGAAACATTTTAGTCACATATGGCAAAAATAATAAATTTTCTAAAATACTTTTAAATGTATTTCAGAATATACAAAAAGAGCCAAAAAATATTCTAAATCTGTCTAAACAGGCCACTGTAAGATTGGAAATGTATGTTTTTGCCCCTGAAATACATTTTGAAATATATTTTGGTATATGATGGCTAAAATTTCAAAAATATTTCATTTAACTTTATTGTTTGCAACATATATTTAACATATTTAAAATATAATTTGGCCAGAATTTTGTTTTTTTTTTGCCATGTGTGGTTGGATGTTCATGTGATATTTTTAAATGTTACTGCTTGTTTCAGAACATTCAACAGGAACATTCCCATAATGTTTGCAAAATGATAAAATGGAATGTTCCCTTAATGTTTGCATAACTGTTTTATAAATTGGACATTTTCAACATTCAGAGAACATTCAGAAACAATGTTTTTAAAACTTAATGGGAACATTATCAAAAAGTTCTTAGAATCTGTTTTTATCAGCAAGTAGTCTCTGATCAGTGTTCATTTAGCTGAGCAAACGTGTGTGTGTGTGTGTGTGTGTGTGCTGTGCTTCAGTAATGTATAGTTTTCTCCAGTGGTTTGAGTTGTTGGTGTTTACAGTGTCAACGTGTGAAGCATCCTGCAGTCGTCTGCTCAGTGCAAACACACACTGCTCATTAATTTATCAGCCTCAGATAAATGGTGTCCATGTGCTCAAGGTCAAGCGTCACACACGTGTTCACACACACACACACACACACACTCACACACACACACACACACACACATCCCTCAGTCACCGGGTTAC